GCACGCGCACGGGGACGAGCGCGGCGCCCGCCACGCGCCTGGCCACCCGCAGCCGGTGAGCGCACACCGGGCCCCCCCGCATACACACACACACACACACGCACAGGGGTACACACTGGGCACCCACACACCCACACACAGGGGCTTTCACCCGCACATGCACAGCTGCACACACTGGGCTTACCTGCACCCACACACGGGGCTCAGCTGCACACACACAGCCGCACACACACTGGGCCCACCTGTACCCGCACACGCACCCACACACACAGCCACACACACCAGGCTCACCCTCACCAGCCCTGCACAGATCCAGCCTCTGCATCTGCATGGCCCTGACATCTGTGCGCACCCCTGCACACCCTGACACCAACACCTGCACACACTCCTACACCTGCACACCGTGAAACCAACACCTATGCATACTGACAACAACACCTGCACACCCTGACACCTACACCTGCACACACTCCTACACCTGCACACCCTGAAACCACTAACACCTACGCACGCTGATATCAACACCTGCACATACTCCTACACCTGGACACCTGCACACCCTGACACCAACACCTGCACACACACACCCGGACACCTGTGCATGTACACTGACCGCTGCTGCAAACGTGGGGCTTGCTGCACAGAAGGGCCAGGCAGTCGTGTAGCCGGGTGCCAAGAAGACGTGGCCTCCACCTGATAGAGGCAGGAGCAGCACAGAGGCTGCGGTCCTGCCAAAGGCACTTCCAGGGCACGCTGCACCACGCTCACCTGCACTGTAAGGCACAGCATCCTCAACGGTGCTGCAGTAAAAAATAATAAAAGTTACTGCTGCATCTGCTCGCCACCAGCTGCACCACACCACAAGTGCTGTAGTTGCCGTTTGCTGTGCTGGCCGGTGCTGGACGCCTCCGTACTCAAAGGGATCATTCCAAAATCCGCCTGCAGACGCAGTGCACGGGAGAGCTCGGCACATGCCAGAAGCCCCGTGCAGGCCAGCAGCATGTCCCCGTTGAGGAGCCCAGGGACGGAAAACACACGCACCTGGGAGAGGAGCCCATGGGCCACATGGCCAAGGACTTGAAAGATACGGTAGAGGCAGCACTTCTGACATGCACAAGGGCATCTGTCTGGTTATCTTATGCTACATATTTGTGCACATACTCACTATATTTACTGGTGTAAATTTGTGCATCATTTCTTTAAACCTCCCCTAGCCCCAGCAGTAATGGCAAGTGCCCTGGGTAAGCATCAAGCTAGCGATAGGAGCAGTAGGTTGACAACCAAAAAGTTTTCCACGGTGCTTGTTAACTTATTTTTCAAAATACTGTTTTTCTAAAACTAAGTCTTTTAGTCTTTTTCTAAAACTAATGAATACAAGTTCTTTTCTCACCAATGAACTGGGATCACTCTTTATTTTGTTTTTATTTCTAAACATCAGAGAGCACTTTCACCCCAGAGTGCTGTGGGAGCTGGCAGATGTCATAGCTAAGCTGCTCTCCATCATCTTTGAAAGATCCTGGAGAACGGGGGAGGTGCCGGAGGACTGGAAGAAGGCCAATGTCACGCCAGTCTTCAAAAAAGGCAAGAAGGAGGACCCAGGCAACTACAGGCCAGTCAGCCTCACCTCCGTCCCCGGAAAAGTGATGGAACGGCTCATACTGGTCATTGTCTCCGGGCACATGGAGGAGAAGGTGCTCAAGAATAGTCAGCATGGATTCACCAAGGGGAAATCTTGCTTGACTAACCTGATAGCCTTCTACGATGAAATGACCGGCTGGATAGATGAGGGGAGAGCGGCGGATGTCGTCTATCTCGACTTCACCAAGGCTTTTGACACCGTCCCTCACAACATCCTCC